CACTAGTTAGAGACTAAAAAATATATATTTAAAGGGTATTTTATGTGAAATATGTTCAATTAGTCTCTGACTAGTGAAATGTGTAATTTGCAATATGGACTCTAATAGCGATTGCAAAACACAGAATGTGTCTGTAATACATACATGGACATTGCCCTGAAAGGGGTCGGAGCAAGTACGGTTTACTCCGACCCTCTTGTAGTATTTAACACACAACATTCAAGGACGAACTACCATGGTTCGGAAGGGAGGAAGAGGTCTCAGAGTACCTGACCCTCCTAGGTCACAAAGACCTAAATTCCGATTAGAAGAGAGGAGACTTTGAAATTTCACAATGTTAACTTTTCTTCATCTTGCTTTCGCAGTTAGTTCACATTAAACATGTGGATACTCAAATGGCTTTAATGTATACCGTATTGCCCCTGGGGGCGTTGCGAACTGTAGTTTCGGATTCTATTTTTCACATGTGATTTGTTGATTTCAATGCTAGTAGATGCATGTGTGTTTGTTTTTCTTCTTTTTTTTCAAATCAAAATCATCTTAATAAAAGTGGATTATATGTTGGATTACTACTGCTGTCACACAAGGTAAGTTTTATAAAAATACTGGGGGTGGGGCGATAATTAGGGAGGGAGCGTTGATTAGGGGCAATACGGTATATAAATATGTATACACACAAAGAAGTCCAATGATCACGAATGTCTATTCCAAGTAATAATGAATTTTTATACAATAAAGAATGATACATATCTTCAGTAACCATACTTCACAGATGCTTCGCAAAATTTTGCGATTTTTCATTTACTATTTGAACTAAAATTTAGATATTGTGTTAATTAAATATGTATATCAAGTTTTCACGTGAAGTCACTTTACACTCATCAGCATCCTTATATACGTTTTACTAATTTGGATACGTGTCTTTCAAAAAGGAGATAACGCTTTGTTTAGAGCAAAACATTTCTCAATAAATTATGTTATTAAACATAATAGAAATATATTTTTTGCAATTAGCTTAAAATTGTTTTTCCGACAAAAGAAGACTGTTTTCCCCCGAAATTACAACGCTGTGCAAAAGTGTAAAGATGATGTGTATAAACATTTATTTAGTGTAATGTATAAAAACTTCTTATTTAGTGCAGATATTATGGTATTCAGGAACACTGATATCCGCCAGGCAGATTCCAGAAATGTACTAGCGAGAATACCAACACAGACATGAAAGGAAACACAAGTGAGAAAATACAAAGCTTAATTCACAGTGAATGTAGTTTGGTATATTTACCCGACTGGTTAGCTTTCACCTTTCCGTCGACTTTTTGAGGCTGCTAGAGTAAAGACGGAGCTTTTCCAAACACGTCCGCACAAGCCAAGGACAACAAGAATTATGACCTACAGGCTACTGCACTTCCAATTTAGGTTTAAGTGTAAAATCTCATATCTTAAAACTACGTATCTAATCGAATATTTCCAAACATTACCCAATCCATTGTAGTTTGTACAAATATCTGTAAAAAGTGGAGATAAATACGGTGCCAAAATGATGCAAGTTTCTAGCCTTCGTCGCTACTGATCATTACGCAAGTGAAATTGTTAGCCCATGTTTAGAATCTTTCGACATCTCTGCTATACATTTCGACATGTCGTTAACGAGATTGTCATAACCAACTGCAGAACAGATCTACGAACATTACAAAATACATATCTGAATATTCCTGAATAAAAGTTTATTTTATGCTTGCTATAAAAGATGAAATTATTGGTTATTTTAGTTAAAAAAAAGAGAAAGACAGCACTAAAAGTTAATGTCCTATTCGCATAAGAATATTTAATACACCTAAGTTTCACTAAAATGAAAATTGAAAATCAAGTTACTGAACAGTTTTAAAAATCGTTATTCAACCATGAAACAACAATTGTTACAGTAATTCAATTCTCTGTTGATTTACTGTATATAAACAACGACAAATAACGGGAGGTAATGTCATAAGAGCTATTTAAGTGTGAGTGTAGAATGTGTCAGAGAAATGCTTTTAGGTAGAAATTAAGGAAGAAACATATCCGTAAAATTATTTACTTCTTTCAAATCTACTTATTTTACGTGATTCTTAGAAACACATCTCTTAACATAATTTAATTACTATAAAAACTTGAACTATATATAATCCTTAAAATTTGCCAAAGCTTAATGCACACAAATACCTGACTTTAAGACAGATATAGTGGCTTATGTTGTTATATAAAAGGCGACTATTTAAAATTACCAAATATTTTGGTAAAATAAAAGTTCTTCAATTGTGCTACAGTGGACTCAATATTATTAACAAAATAACCGTGTAATCAACATTATTAACAAAATAACCGTATAATCAACATTATTAACAAAATAACCGTATAATCAACATTATTAACAAAATAACCGTATAATCAATATTATTAACAAAATAACTGTGTAATCAAGATTATTAACAAAATAACCGTGTAATCAATATTATTAACAAAATAACCGTGTAATAAATATTATTAGCAAAATAACCGTGTAATCAACATTATTAACAAAATAACCGTGTAATCAATATTATTAACAAAATAACCGTGTAATCAATATTATTAACAAAATAACCGTGTAATAAATACTATTAGCAAAGTAACCCATTTACTAAAAGGAAATTATATGAAATGCAAACCATACTTAATGCCAGACATTATACTAACATACAGTGGGATGTATTGGTGTTTTGGTAGTTAATCTTTCCATTATTCAAATGGCTTTTTAGGAGGATCTTTACTGTTTTTTCCAAATCACATGCCTCGTTCTTTTACAATATTTGGTGTAGGGGAGGTTAAATTTTCTGCTGGACAGTGTGTTATTCAATAATTTTCAAATAATTGCACTTCTGTTATTTTTTAAGTGTTTTTTGTTTCATGTGAATGTTGTGACTTACGGTTAACCCAAAATGTGACTAATTGCATGTCGCAACAAATGTAAAGGCGTAAACTGTAAAGGTCATCTATAGGTGAACTATGATTGCAAAATGCTGACTAAATTTAATTTTTACAACGAACATGTTTTATTGAATGTCACTGAAATAATGTAATAATTGAATATATTTTTTTTATTTCTGTACATCGATTTGTTTTTATGCATGCAGTTTACATCGTTTGAAAACATCTTTGTTGGTGAATTTTTGAATTACTTATTACTAAAGACGACTTAATATACAGGTTTAGCACTAAAATATTTTGAATTAAATTGTATACATATTTGTACACTGTCTCTCTCTACCACATATTAAACAATTGCAAAAACGTAATACTGTTGAGATGTTTAGACAGGCGAATTTGATCCTATAGTTTGATCAACAATAATGTTCCTTTTTCAGTTTTTGTTAAAGTCGTTTCTTACCATGGAATACTATTATCTATCATGCAGAAATAATATCTTGTAATCAGACAGACAGTTGTAAAAAAATGAATCATAAGGTATTTTACCTTCTCATTGTATGCATTTCAATTTTACCATAAAATGTGTACGATAGGTTTCTTAAATACGTTGCGTACTTTTCATAATTAAATCTCATTTCTATAAAACCTTTCGTAAGTTCAACCAAACATTTCTTTGAATAATATGACGGAAGAACACTAGTTACAACACTTCTTTCGCAAAAATATTTTCTAAATGTTCCTTGAATTTGTTCAGGTTAATCCAGAGCGTAGAGTTTATACAATATGTAGCTTATCGATAGAAACCATACAAAAAAGGATTATTTATCTTGAACTGACAGACTTCCTAGTTTTAAACGTAATCAGATTCGTCTTAATGAGCCTAATGTTCGCAGTTTTCAAAATTACTTAACTCTTATATCTTTTTAATTCTTGAAATATGTGAATGAATTTCTCCCTCAGCATTCTTCAGCTATCAGTGTTTCTATCAACACTTTTTTAAAAGTCTTAATCACAATTATACTTTATGCATTGTCCAATCACAGCTATTACACAATCTATCCCCTCTTCCTAGTTTGGTTTGTTTTCAATTTCACGCAAAGCTACACGAGGGCTATCTGCGCTAGCCGTCCCTAATTTAGCAATGAAATTTCCTAGAAAAACTGAGAAGCAGAAGCATATCTTTTAAAGGAATTCGCAACCCTTCCCAGCAGTTGTTTATGATAACAATTCCCCACAAAGAAGAACAAAAAACAAAACCAATGGCTAAAGAGATATTGGGAAAACGAATTAAATATAAAAAAATCCACATAAAATATTGCAGTTAAAGTTTCTATACTACAACATTCTTTGTGACATTCGTCATTTTACAACAACAACAACAACAAAAATTCCTTTTCAAAAATCTATTATATAATATATTATCAAAACTCTAAAAGAATGAGGGAGTGTATATAGTTTTCATAATAACATATCAAGAAACAATATTGCGCAAGAAAATTCTTTGCGCTCTCACAAAAAATAAAACCAAACTCAGTCACATTCTAGATATCCTTCGAGTACCCTTGCGCAAAATTCAAAACAAACTAACGAACACATTCTAGATATCCTTCGAGTACCCTTGCGCAAAATTCAAAACAAACTAACGAACACATTCTAGATATCCTTCGAGTACCCTCGCGCAAAATTCAAAACAAACTAACGAACACATTCTAGATATCCTTCGAGTACCCTTGCGCAAAATTCAAAACAAACTAACGAACACATTCTAAATAAAGTCTAGTAAGAGGTCAGTGTTCTACTTGGCACATTGTCCAACTTGTATTGTATTGGTTAGGTTAAACATAAGTGATATGCATTCATCTATATTTATAATTTTTATGCCAGCGCATACTTGAAGCTTCACGGTGACTTAGCAGCACGTCTTTGGGGCTCATAACGCTAAAAATTCTGTTTAGGTACCCGAGGTTGGCACAACTCGACCAGCCTATTTGTGTAGCTTTGCGCTTAACAACAAAAGAAAGTATTTTTGAAGGTTGGAATTTGAACGTAATTTCCCGAAAGTCTCGTTTCTATACATGTGGTGGATAACGTACTATAATACTTCAACGCAGGCAGATTCTTTAACCTGTTAAGAACATAAATTCAGATTTCTACATAACTTCACTAAAGTTTGAATTCGATACGATAATCTTAAATACTATTAAATGCTAAAAACTGATGATTATGTAAAAGAAAAAAAGTAATAAATCATCAAATAGCAATGACTCTAATGAAAAGGACATTAATACCGAAGAATGCAATTAACCGTTTCATTTTGTTAAATTTGGTGTTGCCAAACGAAATATGTTTCACAGATGCCATTTGTTTCATGTATTTCTTAGACTTTCTATCTTAATATTCGTCAATTAGGCTCATTCTGCTTAAACCTGTAAAAGAAAAACATTAAGAAGAGGTTATCCGTTATGTTCCTACACTCAGGTTAAGTTAATAAAGAACGGTGCCGTGTGACAAATCAGTCTATTGTCTTTTTTAACAGACACTTTAACAATAATTTTGCTAACAAACTAATCTAAACAATAAACGCCGTTAAAAAAAAGGACCCTAATTAATAATCACAGAAAAAAATTCATTCACAAGACAGAAAATATTATATATATTATTTATTCATGAAAACAATTAGATCGTTCTGTATCTGTATACTTTGCCCATCAATGAGTTTTGTTATTTTTACATTCATAATATGTGGTCGTCTGAGCTCTCTAAAATAACGCCGTGACTCTATCATAGCTCTAAAGGACTCATATTATTTCGCGCACCCAAGTACTGCCCAAAGCAAAGATATTTTTTTTATAAAAATCAATTTTATTTTTTGAATAGAGTTGTTTAAACATTTGTTTAAAAACATTGGGGGTGTGTCTGTGAGCCAGACTAGTTTCCGAGAATTCCACTCCTCATCAGTGACCCTGGACACTACCACCAATGAAATATCAGACCAAACCAAGACTTTATAGTAGTGAGGTGTCGAAAATCGAAATGGTGTATGTAAGTGTTTTACACAGACTCACCCCCCAATGAAAGAATAGATCATTCCAAGCTTTTACTTGTTGTTAAACAAATATTT